TCTCCTCCATTTCCACTGCTCTTTCCTCCGCTGAGCTCTCCTCTTCCGGGGACTCTCCCCTGTCATCTATACCGACGATATCCTCCGCTCCTTCGCCGTCGGGAGTCCATTCACTCAAGAATTGGCGCACGTCTCGCGATGGTCCTCCCCCGTCCTCTTCTACCGCGTTGATCATGATGGCCCTCGAGAGCCAGTCCGCCACCACGTTCTCCTTTCCCGGCTTATACACCACCTCTATATTGTATTGACTAAGGACTTCCTTCCATCGCGTGACCCTAGCTGAGGTTTCTTTAAGTTTCCCTACCCACTGCAGGGGTTTGTGGTCGGTGTGGACTCGAAACTTCCTCCCAAATACGTATGGCCTGAAATGGTCGATAGCCCACACTATCGCGAGTAGCTCCCTCTCCAAAGCGCTGTATCGCGATTCCGCACCCGTAAGCCGACGGCTCGCGTATGCTATCGGTCGTTCACCCTCACTCCCCCCCTGGGACAAAACGGCCCCTAACGCGTATTCGCTCGCATCGGTGGTTATATTAAAGAGCTTCTCAAAATCCGGGAACGCTAACACCGGCTCTGTCAGCAACCTATTCATACATTTGCGGATATTATTCTCCATCTCTGGTGTCACCACAATCTTCGCGCCTTTCTTCAGCAAATTGTTAATGGGTACCAAATACTCTGCCATCTCAGGTACGAATCTCCGATAGTAGTTCAGCGTCCCAAGAAGCCTACGGATCCCCTTCACGTCCCGTGGTACCGCCATCCTTGTGATCGCCTCCACCTTTGCCGCATCCGGTCTGACCCCCTCGCTAGAGATAGTGTGGCCTAAAAAATTAATCCGCGTTTGTCCCAGCAGAGACTTCTCGCTTGACAATTTCAGCCCGAATTTCCGGAGCCTCTCGAATACTGACCTCAGATGTCCCACGTGTTCGGTTTCCGTTCTGCTAAAAATCAGCAGGTCATCCATATATACCTGACATACCGAGTCATCGATACCCCTCAAAAATTCGTCCATCAGACGCTGAAATGTTATGGGCGCATTCTTCAGACCAAACGGCATTCTTGTGAATTCATAATGCCCCCTTTCGAATGTGAACGCTGTTTTGTGTTGGTCTTCCGGGTGCATCCGTATTTGGTGATATCCCGCCTTAAGGTCCAACGTGCTAAAGACCACGGCTCCACTCAACCTATCCAGTATATCTTCGAATCTGGGGATCGGGTACTTCTCGTCTACCGTGTTATCGTTCAATTTACGATAGTCTACTACCACCCTGTATTTTTCCTTATTATCCCCCGGTGCTGCCTTCTTCTTCACTGCCCACAGGGGACTATTGAATGGTGAGGTGCTATCAACTATGATCCCTTGTTCTTTTAGACTATCTAGCTCCTCTCGAATATGCTGCCTCAACGCCTGCGGGTATCTTCTCTCTTTCACGTAAGTTACCCTATCCTGCTTCAGTGGGATTTCATGCACCGTCCTCCCTGTTACCCCTAATACCTCACCTTCCCTGAAGAAAATGTCCCTAAACTCCTCCTGTAGCAACTCCCTCCAGTCCTCCACTCTGTTCACCGCCCCTATCCGCACCCTTCTTTCTCTCGCGACTCCTATACATCCGAACTTCCTCTTTCCCAACCTAACACTCCAGGCTCCTCTACGATTCCTAATGCTCGCCCCTACCTGCCCCAACAAATCGCACCCCACTATGACCTGGTATTCCCGAGTCATGTTTTTTACTACGTGTACCTTCAGTTCGCCCTCTTTTCCTGCCCACCGATCAAGTCTTATTGTCGCTTCTCCCTCTACGCTACAGGGGCCACCCAGAGTGATTAGTTGGCAATCGCATTTTTGGATCCGGAGTGCCCTCTCACTCCCGCACACTTTCCCTAACGCCCCTCTGGTCATAATAGTGCTCGAGCTCCCGGTATCCACGAGGCACTTTACTCCCCCGTCTACCTCGATAATTGGCAACCAGCATGGCTTACCTCGGATGTTGTTGCATGTTGCTGTGCGGTCGCCTCTCTGCTGCCACACTCCTCAGATGCCGCCCAGCTTCCTCCTCCCCGCCGCCGTTCGTCGCTGCTCGGTCCGTTGGCTGCTCCTGCCTCCTTCGCCTCCACTGCTACCTGGTTCGTCCGTCTCTGTCCCCGAAGTTCCCGACTCCTCGGTTGCCTCTCCCGAAGATCCGTCCTTCCGCTGCATCCTAGCCCGTCTTGTCAGCTTCTGCGTGTTTACTTCCATGGGCTCGTCTTGAGTTCTTTCTCTCCTCCGGAATATGTACGGGCACTGCCTAGCAATATGCCCTTCGGTACCACACTCGAAACACCTAGTGCGCGGACATTGTGCAACTAAATGTCCTGGCTTTCCGCACCCATGACATTTCCTGTCTTCCCTGCGGGGTCCATTCCTCGGCCTCACTTGTCCGGATCTTTTTTCACCCATCCTGACCTTTTCTCCGCTCGGCTGTACCGTTTCTCTCCTCTTCCAACCCATCGGGGCTGTCCGGGGTCGTCTGTCATTCACCCGGATCCACCCTGGTTCTTCCACGTCCATCCGAGTCTCTTCTTCCCTTGCGCTTAGGTCGATCATTTCCTGGGCACACTCGAGGAATGATCTCTCCCTGGGCAATCCGTCTCTCCTTCCCGTTTCCTTTGCCAACTGGACCTTGAGTATCGTCGAGAGGAACTCCATCCTGGCTTCCACCTCTCCCACACTCATTGTTTCGCGCATTTTCTCCGTTATGCGGTTGTACTTTGCCACTAGTACCCCCGCATACTGGCCCCTCGTCTGACGTTGGGACCGGCGCTCCCTAAACATTTGGAAGATGTCTTCCTCCGGCGTCCATCTGCCTCCTCCGAAGGCCTTCTTCAGTCGCTCCTTAATCACCGGCCATGGTGTCTCCTCGTCCGCCTGAATTTGGTTCAGGATGCTCCTCCTTACTCGGCACACCAGAGCCGCTTTCAACGCTTCCGCGTCCCCTAGGTTTACCAGGTCCTCCGCCACCTTTACCTCTATTCTAGACATGAGGCGGTCTCCGCCTTTCAGGAAATGGTTGAGCTCACCTACCTCGCCACCGAAGCGTTCCAGGTCCGCAATGGCTCTTCGAAGGTCCTGCGTGGTCGCCGCTCTTATTTTCATCCATTCCAGCGCGTTAGCGTGCGCTTCTGCCAACGTGTCCCTCGGTAAGGGAGGGATCTCCTGGATCTGCGGAATCTGCGGTACCTGAGGTATTTGAGGTATCTGAGGCACCTGAGGGGCCTGCGCGATCTGAGGTATCTGCGGAATTTCTTGAGGTTGAGGGATTTCCGGGGCGCTCAACACTCCCGGCCTGATTAAGCCCTCTGTTGGCATTTCACTCTTTCCTTATGACTAGGAGAAGAAAAAAAACCAAGAGAAAAAAAAATGACTTTAAAAAAAAAATTACTTCTCTGTTCTCCTGTCGTAGTCCCGGGTTTCGGCACCAGTTAAGCGTCGGCGGACTCTAACAATAAAAAAAAAGAAAGGAAAGGGCTTGAAATGCAACACTCACGGTTTCAGAAAAGATACTGATTTATTCCTTTAGTAATCCTCCTTATATACATTTCATATGTTTATTTACATTCAGGACGGTATTAAGGCTGATATCGCCGGTCTCCGGTCTTTATCTTATATATACATATATATATATATATATGGAAAATATATAAAATATGGATATATGGTGGATTGATGGATATAAAATATTACTGTTGATTGATTTATCTTTTTTTTTGTCTTTTCAAAATTACTTAGTTCTCGCCTCCTGTCCCAAAAATTAAAAATTAGAATTTACAAAACCATTATCCTGCTTATGATTCTTTATGGATGTGAAACGTGGTCGCTTACATTAAGGGATGAGCAAGGTCTTAATGTTTTTGAAAATGAAATATTGCACGGAATATTCGGACAGAAAAAGGGCTTGCATTTATGTTTGCCAACATTGGAATAAATAAAAAACATGAATGAATGAATGAAATAAAAACATTGAGTTGGTTATTTCATACTGAAGATAAATTAATGCGCATGGATTTTGTAATACAATAATATAAGAGCATTATTTTATATAAATATAATTTATGAACAGGATGTAATATAAATGTTCAAAACTTAACAGAATGATATTAGATCTTAAATTCAATAGAGAAGTTTAAAGGGGTATGGTCCAATTTAGAATAAGGAAGAATAAATTTAAATTTTGTGATTTTAAAAGAAAATAAATACATTTTTGGCGGAATACAAAACATTAACTAAAAAAAAAAAAACTATCCAAGTTTGACAATCTCCAATTACAGTATGGCAAAGTAAATTTATGAAAACAATTTGTTTGTCTTTTATTCGTCAACATGAGAAGGTAACAATCCACATAAATACAGAGATATATAATTTGAATAATAACAATTTAAAAAAAAGTTTGATTAAAGTTAATATAAAACTAGAGAAAAACAGTTATTGTTTATGGCTCATTTCATTAAAATAACGAGACACATTAAAAAATATACATATAATGCTTTTTTTCAAATTTCAAAACATCAATGTTCTTTTAGCGATCTTTTATTAAGTTCTTAAGTTTAGAAAAATATGTTACCCATAAGAACTGTATTTTCTTTTTGAATTTTTAAAATGATGACCATTTTGAAAGCTAAATAGTTCATTTCCTGTTGGGTTTAGAAAAAAGAGTTTCTCTCAAAAATGTTGGAAAATTTAAAGCTATTTAAGATTGAATATGACCATTTTTTAACTATGTCCCTTTAAAAAGGAGACATGGATAAAAATAGAAAACAAAAAAAAGTCTGTAATTTCTTTGGTTTTTGAAGCACTGCGGTGAAGTCTTTCAACTCCAAAAACTTGTATTTTTGGTTCAAAAAGGAAATTTGAACTACCCAACCTTATGCTAGTTCACATGACTGATTCGACTGGGTTACATTATAAGTGTAGTGTTATTGTATAAATAAATAAAAAAACGTTAAGAGTGATACTTATGAATTTAACATTGACACTTTAGTTTTTTAAATACTAACTTTTTAAAGGAGAAACTTCTTATACAATTTCCAAGAATTTCTAAGACATTAAGCGTCTTTACCAAGCACCCCTTTCTGGAGTGCCAAATGGAAAGTAGATTGTCACTTGTATGAACAATAAATTTGTAATACCAAGGGATGAACATGGCCTATAAAAAAATGTCTTATTTTAAAGAAATAACATATTGATAGCACATATATGTCTATACATTGTAATTCATACAAAACAATAAATATTAATAATTAATGAATGAAATAAAAATCAATTAGTAATAAGAAAAATCAAACTCAAGTTAATCTTAAAATAATAGTTTTTAATAAATAAAACATACTCCTAGTATGATAGAATTCTCATGGGGTTCAATCAGAAATAATTTTTCAAATTTAAAAGGATCCCAAACAAATCCTTTGTCATCACTAATACTGACACATTGGTCACCAATTTGATTAAATGATATTTTCTTCACTGGTTTTGTATGCCCAATGAAGGTTCCACAAGGTTTTCCTGAATCTAAAAAATGAAAACTTTTTTGTAGTTACAATTGGTTATGACTGATTTTCATTGATGGAATTTTATATCAAAATTTATGTCACTAATTATAAAATAAGCAATATCATCGGTTTATCATTTAATACCAAATTAGGGGACATTCATCTAACAATATACAGGCTATATTTTAAAATTTAATTCCTATTACATTTGAAGTGCTTATTTATAATAACTTTAAAATGTTGTTGTTTCTTCAGAGTATGAGTATATTATATATTAATATGGATTACAATTTTTTTTTTCGTATCAAGTACTCTTCTACCGTTAATCAATGTTAAGGATCATGTTTATAGAGCCTGATCCATTATTTATTCAATTTTTGTTTAACTAGATAATTTTAGGTACCCATTGAATTCCCCTTTTAGTTGACGTAAACTGTCATAGGCATATGTTCAGCATATCAGACCCCATAAATTTTAATTTTTCCACTAATGAAGATCTAGTATTATTGCTTAATTTTTGGACCTAAAGTAGTGTTTCTTTAAATCAATTATACTAATTAAATCCAGCAATATTTTTTCATGGAAAGTGGGCATTTCAAATGATGTGACATGAAATAATGCTTTTCAAAAATATATTTTTATATCCTCTGTATTATTTGTTTATCTTTTGATTCTATGCATATATATTAAGTCTGTAAAACCATTTATTTATTTTATTTTTAAAAATTCATTACAAAAAGTAAGAAACCATTTAAAAACATACATGCATACACATAATAACATTATTCTGGCACACGACTCATCATTGCACAATATGAAGTTCGACCTTTATTTTGTGAATAAGCATGCTTAATTGTACTTGAACCGCTACTGCAACCCCTTATAAGTGAATATTAATCAAATTCTATTTAAATGGTTTCCTTTTTAGTGAAGCTCACTTGTTCATACATCATCAAATCCCTGACTGACTAATACAATATGCTATATATCGATAAGTCTGTTTGTGTGAGTAGGTTAATATTACCAAGGTCAAATATTTTTATAAGTCCATTAAAATAGCCTAATGATATTTCATTATAGCATTGAAGAAACTCAATCACACTGACATATTTTTCATTTCTGAAGCACCAGTACCTTGAAAAAATAAAAATAAAATTAATACTTGTTATTTATTTTGGGTAAGGGCAACATTGAATCATTAGTGCACCCATCCTTATCATAAAAATAGTTTGAAATAATTAATGGATTTAAAAATATTACTTTTAAGATACACAAATTAATTCATAGAACAAAATAATTTAAACAAGAATAAATATAAATGGATGCTCACACATTTTTATCAAGATCAATTATATAACAACTGCCTTGTATGTCATAAGCGCAAAATTTATCAAATCTCGGATTCATTGAAAGGAGTTTAAATTTTGTTAAACCTCTACCCATTTTCTTGTCATGTTTCTTTATTGATAAAACCATCCTGTGGAAAATTAATGTAGTTAAATTAAAAACAATAACACACTTTACAATTTAATGTACCATATTTACCAGCTTCATTAAATAAATATGTTTTAAGATCCATAAAAAAATATTATAATTGATTGATTATTTTTACTTACGGGTTGTCTTCTAATAAATTTGGAAATTTCCATTTTTGATTTCCTTCAGCTGAAATATAGAAAGTACGAACCGTCATTCTCTCATTGAATCGACCTAATGATGATTAAGCGAGTGGAAAACAGTTGCTAGGCAACAACAGGGAATACCATAGTAACCGTCATAGGCGAATAGGGTAGCCGCTTATAGGAGTGCTCCAACATTTTTTACGGCAATGTTTTAATTTCTTTAAAAAACATAAATAGAATTTCTCAAGTGCGGACGATAAGGAGGGTAGGGGGTAAGCAGATATCCTGATATTGTACGGGGGAGGGGGGGGATTAACAAGGTTGCAGTCTTTAAGTTAAAGCTACACCACGGATAATCATTTTGTGCATGTTTATATGTCGGACTGAACATAATATAGATAATTATTAAAAAATGTAGATAATTAGTCTATGAGTAAATCCGTTTTAATCTAATTTGTTTTTATACAAGGGCTGCTGATGGAATAACTAAAACTAAAATTTTGTTTATTAGCTAAAGTAATGAACTCTAGCGATCGATTTTATTAAACAATAGATTACCCGATTACTCAGTAACATACATCGGCAGAACTTGTAAGGACAGTTGAGTACTGTCATTTTTTTTTCCCTTTACCTTCGCCAATTTTGGCATACGGCGGAAGGGGAGCAGAGGTACAGAATTACAAGAGGAGGAGGTAGAGAGGAACTACCAAACTTATTCTAATCCAGTGCCGCCTTTATCCAGTACAATTATCCAAAACAAGGCGCAACCAGCAATCGGCAGAGGGCGCCGACCAGGAGGAGCGACACTCGATCTTCAGAAGCTCTCGCCACTTGTTACAAATTAAAAAAAAATACAAAAAGTATTACAATTATTAATTTTAGCCTATCAATAAAGCAATATATTAGAGAAATGTTGAATTACATAAAATTCTAACATTACATTATATAAAACATCTTAAGAAATAAATTTAATTTTTTTAGAATGGGGGGAGGACGTCATTGCCCGGGGGCGCCGAATGTCTAGGGCCGACTCTGTTCTAATCAAAGTGGAAAGAATGAATGAAATAAATTTCAACCCGCCTAAGCCGGAATCGAATTGGCGCACAGTGCATCTACCAATGGACAAATATCAAAAATTGAACTATTTTATAAAAATTCAATCACCATTTTAAATCTATTAATAAACCTTCGAACACTAGTGTTGCCCAAAATCGGTTAGGTCTTGCACTTTGCAAGACCAAGACTAGTGTTGCCCAAATGCGAGACCGAGACGAGTCTTGGTCTTGCAAACTCATTCTTGGTCATGGTCTTGCATTAACTTAACTGATTATTAGTGTAGAGATATTACTGTATTTTTTTAGATAGAAGAAACTTAACTAAGCCCAAATGAAAAATTAGAGGAGTTAAATGCAAAACTATATTGGTTATACCAATTATTTACATATAGTAGCTAAAATTGTCAAGTATTAGTAACTATTATCCCTTAATTTTTATTCTAAAAATTGATTTTTTTTACTAGTTCTGGTCTTGGTCTTGCATAGTGCAAGACCAAGACCGATTTTGGGCAACACTAACCAAGACCAAGGCCGCCTAATTCTTGCAAGACCAACACTACGACTGGTAAAAAAAAATAAGGCAACAATTTGTACATAGTTACAAATACTCGACAATTCTAATTACTATACGTCAATAATTGGTATAACCAATAAACTTTTGCATTTAATTCCTCTAATTTTTCATTCGGGCTTAATTAGGTTTCTCTTATCTAAAAAAATTACAGTAATATCTCTATAGTAATAAGCTAATAAATAACTGCAAGACTGTTGCGCAAGATCAAGGCCATGACAAAGACTGAGTTTGCAAGACCAAGACTTGTCTCGGTCTCGTATTTGGGCAACACTATCGAACACCATCTTCTAGGATTATATCATTGTTTAGATTATTTTTATACAATTGGGTGAAGTGCAGCTATTAATCCTTTTGCAATAAATACCTTATTAGTGTCAATATATGTTTCTTCCTAGGAGCACTTGGCTTTTCTATAACATTACAGCTCCAAGTATGAAATTTATAGGCGAAGGTATGTATTTGAAAATGCCATATTTTAATTGCGAAAATTAAATCATTAGATTATTTTGCATATCTGCATTTAATTTGACTAAATTATTTTAACATCAAAACTTTAAACACTTTTTAAAAAAAAATCATTAAATATCATTTTGTACTATTTGTATATTCTTGTAGCATTGAGTGTGCACTTTAATTTTCATTATCGTTTATGTGCTTCTGTGTGCCACTTTATTTGTATTATTATTTTTTTCAATTGACCAAGTCATCATATTGCAGAAATATATTTCCAGCCTAAAAAAGGTGATCGTATACCATGATCATGAAACAACTGTATTGCTGAACGTTACGTTGCTGCATTGCTGAACGTGGAAAACCCGAGTATATTTGACGAATAAAAAAAAAAAAAAAAAAAGCGAAGATTATTAGGGTATTTTGTCTTAATTTCCATAATAAATGAAAAGAAGCTGTAAGGGATCCCAAAAAAATTATTTGGGAAACACTCCTTGGCTCCAGCAAGAGGTTCAGAATTATCCTTGCTTCCTAAAAAAACAACACGTAATTTAGTCCAGCATGGACCAAATACCTCACTTGGAAGCCTACAACCATCCTTTGGGGAATCAACCAAAAAAAAAAAAAAAAACGAAAAAGAGGCGGGTAAATGAGCTTTTAGAAAGTTGGACATTTGCTAAGATAATATTTGCTGCCGACATTGTCAAGAAATCTTCTATTCATAATACAAAATCTTCGTTAAGGCGTTATAAAGTACTCTATATTTAGATTAAGATTTAAATTCGTATAAAAATGCCTTGTTACCAACGCAGATTACTGCAAATGAAATTTTTGCTTCCGTTAATTTAAGTCAATTTAAATTTAATTAGTAAATCTAGTGATGAGTTTAACATGATGGACATTGGTGACATAAATATAGATTCGCAAAGCAGTAGCGAAGAATAGGTATGAATCAGATTAAATAATGTTAATTTACAAAATATCAATATTATATTGTTAGATATTTAATATTGTATATAGATAAATATATATATTAACCTGTATTCGAATATATTGATTTTTATAATTATATTTCAAAAGTTGGCGTTTTTAAAACTAACTTGTTTTCCTGATAAATTTCATATTTTAATATTTTCCTGATAACTTAAGCACTGATAACGTTACATTGTAATTTGCAACTATGCCATTAGCCGAAATCCCATGAGATAAGATCGGTTGTTTGGCTCGAAACTTAAAAATTAAGTATAAAATGACGGTTTTGGGGGAAAAGCGCATTATCCGACAATTTTGGTTAGAAATGTGGGATATATTTGTAATAAGCGTAAAATTTTCTATAATAATCAATAGAAATCAGAATTTTTTCCATTTCGATCACGGACTCGAAGCACCGTGTGGCGCCGCTGTAATTCAAGATTGCTAAAACTGGCAACACCTCAACACGCTAGGCCATCACCGTCTTTTATTGTCATATTCATTAGTACTGACATATTATAGCATTATTTAAAAATCCTTGCCAAATGATAAGAAATTCATCAAGTCCGTATACATTTATTACATATGGTATCTATATACGTATGATATGTATACGCCATTTATATACATTGGTTGGCTAGATATATGATGTTTATATACACCATTTATATTCATGCAAGATAGTACATCAGCGTTTATAAGAATTGACAGCTTCAGTTTTTATTGTAATTTTCCACAGTAAAATTACGTTTCATTTGAAAAAAAAAAATTGTATTTAACATTATTTGTAAATTCTATTTTATATTATTTTTTATCCAACACTGTCATCACCACCTATGCCGATGATACGTGTATCCTATCAGTTAATAACGATCCATCTATTGCATCCTAAACTCTTCAATCACACATCACAAGTCTTGAAAAATGGTGTCAAAACTGGAGGGTTAAAATAAATTCCAATAAATCCCACCAAATTACCTTCACTCTTCGCCGTAAACCTATGACTTCCTGTCCTACAGTATTCTTCAACAACAGCCCTCTTATTCCTGTCGAACAAATGTGATACTTAGGACTCCACCTTGACCAACGATTCACTTGGAACCCCCATACCAGACTGAAACGACTAGAAACCGCCCGACGTTTTCGACTACTGCAGCACTTACTAGACAAACGCTCTAAGCTCACAATCAATTACAAACGACTCATATATATGACAATAATAAGACCTATTTGGACTTACGGAATTGAGCTTTGGGTCTTCACTAAACCATCGAATTCCTCTCGTATCCAATCCTTACAATCCAAAATCCTTCGTAAAATCCTCAACGCTCCTTACTTTGTCACAAATAAAATCATCCATAAACACCTTAATGTTCCATATGTTTCCGATTTGGCCCAATCCAGATACCTATCCTTCCATAACAAACTGCATAACCATCCGAATCCTCTCGTTTCAAACC